CCTTTCTACAAAAGATATTTGAAGCTGGATACTGTGCCTTTACTGAAAAAAAAATTTCCTTACTTTTATAAATGATACTCATTTGAAAAATAATAAAATAAATCTACATCTTATAGAGTTTTACAGTGGGGCCTTCAAGTTACTGCAAAAGTAAAAATTTTATTATTTACTACTAAAAGGAACGAAAATTGTTTGCCTTGTCTCGATGATGTGCTATGTATGTTCAAAAAATTAGCGCATTTTCAACTTTAAATGAAAAAACATGAATTCCTTTAAAATAGTGCATTTTTTGCTGGCACATCTAAGATTACATTTGAAAAAGGTCAATATAATGTGTGATCGCTGTGTTCTATCGTCCCTCATCACAAGAAAATTGGGCCATCACGATATTTATACAATAAATATTTTTAACTCATTAGGAAAGGTCATATTATGAGCAGCAAATTAACAGTTTAGGAGCTACGGATTCCTATGGTATGTTTATTAGATTCAAAGGGTTCTAGAAGTATTTTTACCATCTCAATTCTATTTTCGTACATCGTCATGCGAATAAATAGCAATCCTTCTTATTTCTTAATTTTTTTTTCACATGGGATATTCAATGTTTGAGTAAAAATCAGAAAAGTGGAATTAGAAAAACAATTTCAAAATAATGTACTGCCGAAGCAGAAGAACAGCAGTTGGTTAACTTTAATTCTACTGTATCGACATAGTATCTGTATATACATTTACAATGCTGTTTGTAAACATTTATGTATACATGATATAAGCCAAAATATGCATTGAATCTGGTTTGTATTCGCTTTATTCTTAATGCAGTTGTATTGTTTCAACGTTTTTCCTCAAACTAAAAATCAGTAAGTAACCAAAAGATAAGTAATTTTATTAGAAAAATAATAAATATTTTAAGATACTAAGTGTACTTGTGTAGAAAGCAGAATGGCACTTGAAATTCAATTACCAAAGAGTATGCTACAAAAAGTTAAAGAGAAAAGAAGAATCTCGGCTGAAAAACGTGAGCGAAAAATTCTTTAAAAGCGTATGGATCGCGAAAAAGCAAAAAGCTTGCGTAGTGAGGTATAAGTAAGTAATACACACTCCACATCAAAAACTCTGCGTGATAAAGATACTGATATGGTTAGGCGTTGTTTCCAAAGATTAGGAAATATGTCTATAAAACATTACGATGATATTGGTAGAAGAACAAGAAAAAATAAATCCGAAAATCTCAGTGGAATAAACAGTCAAAATGATGTTGTTGAGAGCTTAAGTACGTTAAATGAGACACAATCAGCTCCTGATCAGAGGGAGTCACAATCTCTCCTCCTCAAGTACACATGTAGAAGACGGTATCGCTAATAATTCACAAAAATTGAGCCAAGAATATAAAGTCAAAAAAGAAAGTTTCTATTCAAAAGTAAAAATTTCGCGTGTAGAAAAAGTAATAAGTAATGGAAAAAAAGGGAGCAAACGTTGCGTCGAAAAGTAAAAAAACTAGAACAAACGAATAAACTACAGTTAAAAAATATTAATTATTGGAAACAAAAATATTACAGAGCAATAAGAACCGAAAAATCGCCAATCGAAAAAAAAGTTGATAAAATAATGAAAGAAGGAAAGCAAGCCATAAGGCAAAGATTATTACATGGAGAAGTACTTCAGTCAGCTTTCAGAAAATAAAAATAAATTAAAATCCGAAAAAGAAGAATCGTCATTGTTGCAAGCTATTGTTGAAAAAATTATAAAAAAATACCGTTGTATCAAAACAACCTTCTGGGTTCGTTAACAATTACTTACAGAGAAAAAGTATTTTATCATACTTTAATACAAATAGAAGTAAAAATAAAAAAATGCTTATTAAATTACAAATGAAAAACGAAATGGAAAAATTTTTAGAAAAAAATGAAAATTCTGCTCCTGAGCCAAGTAAAAAAGATTTTATTACTAAAAATGAAATAGAGATGCGTAAAAGATGCTTACTAGATACCTTACATAATTTGTACCTGAAATTTAAAGCTGAAAAATCCTTAAAAATTTCTCGTTCTTTGTTTTATACGTTGGGCCCTTTTTTGGATAGTTACTCAAAAAATGTCCAAGAGGGAAACATGCCTATGTAAAACGCATGCTAATTTTGATTTAATT